TCTCACCGGCGATCTCCGCCTACCAGGGCCATGTCTGCAAAGAGTTAGCAGCAATCTTTGACAGCATCTTTGATGATGAAAAAACGTTGAGGGATACAATCACACGTCTGAGGATGGAACGGAACAACGCCACTGACCAGGCTGCTGCCAAGCAAAGCCGGATTGATGAGCTAATTGCTGAACGCGATGAACTTAGCCACACCCTGGTCCGCATGACAGTCAGCAACCAAGCAGCAAGTCGAGGTGTCACCCCCTCTGAGACTACCCGGAGGTCTGTCAAGATTGATGACCCAAAACACCTCACTGACGGCAAGGAGCCAAAATTTGAACACTGGCTCTCCCGGATGAAGAACAAGCTCCGGGAGAACGCTGACCACTACCCTACTGAACGCATGAGGATTGCATACATCGAAAACCGGACTGATGGGGACGCGGCACGTCACATTGCGCCCCGTATGAAGAGGACCACCCCGAGCGATATCAGACTGCAGAAGAGATATTTGAGCACCTCAAGTCAATATATGAGGATGCTAACAAGCTGCAAAATGCCAAGAGTGATTATCGCAAGCTGATTATGCGCAATGGGGACAATTATCATGAATTTGTCACAAAATTTTTACACCTGGCAGGGGAGGCCAAGATTGCCAGGGGGACTACAAGACAGACTTCAATGACAAGCTGTCCTTTGACCTCCAGAAGATGGTAGCAGTAGCCAATGCGACCACTGATACATATGCTGAGTTTCAGAAAATCTGTGCGCAGGCAGCTCACACCCTCCAGACAATCAATGCCACCCAGAAATCAAAGAGCTCGCGGGGAAATGGGCCTAATACCTTCAAACAGAACACCCTGCAGACCGCCAACAGTCAAACACCCCCCAGCATCTCTACAACAAAATCCCCTATTGTGAAGGAGGCTTTGAGCTTTCGTCCGGATATTCAGTGCTACTACTGTAAGGAAAAAGGCCACATTGCCAGGAACTGCCCTGCAAAGCAGAAGTCCCAGCAGGTGATTGCTGAGCTCACAGGGAATGATGCCCCTGAGCCTTCAGCAGATTCGGGAAAAGAGTGAGCCTGAGAGAAGACTCCACCTCAGGTAGTTCAACAGTCTGTGAGAGGTTTGAGATGAAGGACTTGATTGGGGGGAAAAGCTTTAATGTACCAATCAAATTAGCCTACAATGGAATTGCTACTTCTACAAATTCTCTTGCTGATACTGGAGCAAATGGTGCGAATTTTATTGATACCCGATATGCCATAGAATTGGCAAGATTCTTTGATAGGAAGTTTCAAGAACTCCCATTCAAATGCCGCATGAAGGGATACAATGGCGCCCCCGGCGGGGTGATAGACCGCACATTGACCCTAAACCTCTGGGTGGATGGCCGGAGATTTCAGAATGTCCCTCTGCTGGTAACAGACCTAGGCCACGCACCCTGTCATCCTGGGACGGAAGTGGTTGGCAGCACAAGAAAATATGGC